CCGTCACATACACATCCTTGACCTCCCCCCCTTCCTTCCTCACTTCCAACCGAATGATACTCCCCCTTCCCATCTCCACCCCTTGTTCGATTGTCGCCTGCACCGTCACATCTTGCTCATCCAAGTTGGACACCAAGTAAGCCCCCAGCGCAGCCGACGCGCTCCCCGTCGCCGGATCCTCCGAGACATCATCCAGCGGAGCGAACATCCTCGCTCGAATCTTCCACGGGCTTTCGGGATTGCGGACATAGAGGAACAGTGGAAACTTAGGGGCTTGAGTCTTGTAGGTAGCATTTGCCTCGTGAAAGGCCGAGACATTCAGTCGGGCTTGGCCCAGCGCGCCCAGATCGTTGAGTTCTGCAAAGGCAAAGGCGAGCCCGACGGAGGCGATGACGGGCGCATGGGAGGTGATTTTGATCTGAGAGGTCGCGATAGAGGCGCATCTTGCAACGAGCTCCAGCGGGATGATTGATCCCGTTGTCAAGGGGCCAGGGGCACGGATAGTAGCGCCGGTGATGGTGTTGGTGGTATCATCTCGGAGGAGGTTGACCGACACAATACCGGCCTTTTCTTCAAAAAGAAGCGCGTCCCCTACGGGAATGCCAAAGAGCGTCGGGAGCTGGCCGAGGACGAAGGCGGTGCCGACGTTTGGGTGACCGGCGAAGGGGACTTCGGAGGTCGGGGTGAAGATGCGCACTTGGGCGCTGTTTGCGGGGTCGGCGGGCGGCAGGACAAATGTTGATTCCGAGTAGCCGAATTCCTTTGCGATGGATTGCATGTCGGCCGTTTCGAGGCCCCGCGCGTCCGGGATCACGGCAAGCGGGTTGCCCGAGAATCGGTCGGCCGTGAAAACATCGACGGTGATGAAGTCAGCATAAGGCATGTTGATGGTTGCCCGTGCTTCGCGTAAAATACAGTGTTGAGGGATGTTAGATGACTTGGGAAGGCGCTGGAGACATTTCGAGTGGTGTGTGAGAGCCAACTGAAGAATCATTAGCGGGGTGGGGGATGGCCACATCTTCCCGGTTTCCGGGCCGGGTGACCCACTTGCGGTGCGGGGCACGCCCTGCCGATTATGACGAAGGCCCGATGACTAACCACCAAGCCTAAAAGCTAGGTCCGGAAGAGCTATTGGTCGGAAGCTTGGCGATCAGGAGTTGAAACACGTGGGCTCAGTTTGCTTACCAGTGATCATGCCTTCTATTATATGTATAGTAGGTGCCGTTTTCTACGTTCTATCTTCAATGATCTATCTTGTATCTTTACCCTCTACCGATCTCCCATTCAAGGCAACAGTCAGTGACCTGCACCAGCCATTTCAAGAGCTCCCAGCACCCTTGACAAGCACCAGATTGTTTTTACTTGCAGCGTTGTGCTTGCAAACATCCTTTCCCCTGAACGCCAATTCGATGAAAGAGTAGAGCTCTACAAAGCTGTAGGCGAGAATGGTCGGCAGCATCAAAACCCAATGCAGCAGGCCTCTTGCAACCCCCCGAAGACCCATGTTGTAATGGTTGCTTCCACCCCCAGGCACGGGAAGGCACCACCGGACGAGGACAGTGACAATGAGTAAGAAGGCGTATTGCGTTCCCAAGAAGATGAGAGTGATTTCTGTGAAAGAAGAGTCGTTGATGAAGAGTCGATCGTGGTGAGGAGCAACCATGTTGATGAGCTGAACAATGATGGGGGAGAAGACCGAGAAGATCGCGCTGGCGCAGAGGACGAGGCCGTAGTAGACAAAGAAGCGTGTGGCCCAGCTGATGGACAAATAGAGCCCGGGCATTCGGTAGGTCTTGACGATGAAGTAATGGAAGACTTCGCCGGCGCCAATAGTCCATCGACGAACCTGAAGGGCCCATTCGCGTATCTCATCCGCGTAGTTGGCGCCCGAGGTCGGGCCATTGATGGAAATGAGGTTCAGAGGCCGGATGCGGATTTCTCGGCGGGTCATGATTGTGTAACGAATCAAAGCAATGATGTCCTCCATCTGGTAGGCCGGGTGGGTGAAGGCGCCCTCTTCCAATAGCTTTACGCTGAGCGAGTAATGAGACATGGGATTGATGTTCCAGGGGATCAGAACACCCATGAAGAAAAAGGTGCGCAAAACTCCGGTGATGTCGACAAAGAAGGGCATCGAGTCGCGCTTGTAGACGATAATGGACTGCCAGATGGAGGAATGGCGGTTGGTAGAATCGAGCTTGGAGTACTCGGTTTCCAGCTCCCGCATGTAGTCGGGGTCGAAAACCGCATCGCAGTCGCAGTTGGTGAAGATGTGTTCGTACTTGTCGTAGTGGTAGTCGTCATCTTGTCGGAGAATCCGCAGGCCCTGGCGACAGGCGTAGTTCATGTTGGAGCACTTGCCAGGGATTTCGCCGGGGACGCCCGAGGGGTGAAAGGTGACGATGAGACGAAGGAATTTGTTGTCGTACTTGGCGTAAACTTCGTCGCGTTTGGCCTTCTTGTCGGGGGTGCGGGATTCCATGCCGATGATGACGGACATGCGGGATGTGGCATCTTGTTGCTGCGCGAGCGAGTCCAAGGTCGTTTGCAGCACACTCATGGGTTCCTTGTACAAGGTCATGGCGACAATGTGGCGAATCGTCGAGTAGTCGTTGGCCGTGGCGTCTGCTGATTCAGCATCTTGAGCTTTGGCCGCTCTCAGCTTGTTTCGGCCGTTGATGGCGAGCGCTCGACGGATGGCGCAAATGGTGGCTATCAGCCAGATAAGTTGGAAAATACCGATTGTGACGATGATGACGATGTTGGTTGCTTGGTTGACATAGGGAATAAGAGGCATCCAGACGGGAAAGAGTAGGAAAGTGGAGATGATGAAAAGGAATAAGATGTTCCAGCGGACATAGCGATTGGCTGCCTCTAGCTTTGCAGCGCTCATGCCACTATTCAGGCTCTCGGAGGATGAGAACGGCGATGTTGAAGACATCTTGGGCGAAGGCTTCTCACACGCAGTCACTGGAATCACTGGCATCATTGATGGAATCGGGCGTTCTCCCTTTCTTAATATTCTTAATATAATAACGGAGTCAATCCCCGTCAAAGGTCGTTCCATTCGGCGCCCTCAGCTCCCGATCTAAGTCGACGATAGTGCGTTCCCTTCTCTGGCTAAGATGCTTGAAGCTGTTGACCCAGCTCAATATTCGGGCGCCACAAGGATGCTGTTCCCTGAATCAAGACTAGCGTTGCGGGGCCTCTGGGATGCCCGCGAGCCCGAACGGCCATGTGGCCTGCACCTCCTGGCCAAGCTTGGGCGCTGGAGAGAGGCAGTGGCGGGGCGGGAATCACGGTTGTCCAGTCTTTTCAACTGTATTGCCTGGCTCTACCGAGCTGCTGCAAGGGCAGGGCTGCAAAACGTCCATCGCTCTATCCTTCGAGAAGGGATCAAGAACAAAAAGAAAGGAAGAAGAAAAAAAGGCAATTTGTGTGTTTGTGGGCCTGGTGCGGCTCGATTCGCTTGGCTTGCATGGCATGATGCTGACTGGGGTTCGCTACAGTCTTGGCAGCAGCTTGTTTTTGTCCCGCGACCACGGCCCTGGCCTGTCGTCTCCGGATGTTGTCCACTTAATTCGCGAGTAAAAGTGGTCTGGTCCATCCCTCTCTTATCAGCTCAGCTGCTGTCAAGTTGCCAGCGCATGGCCCTCGGGCCACATCTCGGCAATCCGGGTCTGTCGGCATTGACGTTCGATGGCCCAGGCGAGCGGTGTGTTGTCCCAGCAGCAAGGAAGCGAGAAAAAAATATTTGCAAGGGGAATTAGAATATATAGACAAGCTATGTGGGGAAGCGAAAAGGAGGTTTCTAAAATGGGAGATGCGTTCGAAGCATCTTCGTTTGCCCTTTGCCCTCCTAAAAACAACTTAAAAAGAGGCCTCTCAGGGGTGCACGCAGGCACGTAGCGACGCAGGCCAGAATTATCCGCAACACACAGTCGGTTCCTTCGCAGCCGACGTTTGAGAGTCGAGGCCCCTGCCCTTCAAGTTAGATAGGTGGAACTCAAGTCCGAGGGTCTTTAGAAACAACTTACAGTCCAAGTGTCTCCCATTGGAAGACAAAGGCACCAATGTACGCGCCGATGAAAATGCAAATGATGATGTACCCGTTGTAATACATGGCGAGCCTGCAGAGACTCCCGGTCAGAAACAAGCTCAAGACGCGAAAGACTCAAGATTGACTTGCAGCATGATAAAATAGGCAACTGCAAACTGGACCATGTGGAGAAAGGCACGAACGGCCTGCTCCCAGATCTTGGGTCGATAACCCCCCACGGGAGATAGAGCACCAGTCTCTGCATGCTTGCGGAGCAGGAAGCGGTCGAACTCTTTGACCGAGCGGCGGAGAAACTCGAGAGACATGACAAGTAGGATGACGCCGATGCAGGAACCGGCAAACATGCCGGTTGAGGTGATCTTCCACGTCGATGCAATGAAGCAGGAGTCGATTGTGTTCCAGTTCCAGAGCATCGAAATCTTGCAGCCATGGCCACCCATGCCGCCCATCCCACCGCCTGCCGCTGCCGCTGTCGTTGTTGCTGCTCCTGCGACACCTGTTGTAGTCGCCATGGTATGGCCGCCGTGGTCCATCTTTGCGAACGGAGGTGGGGCGTTTCGGTAGGTAGAAAAACAGGGGGTTTTGCGCTAAATCAATGTGTGTGAGCCCTCTGTCAAGAGTCGGAAGGGGGGACTCACAACGCCTCAGATCGAACCAACAGCCGTTCATCTTATATGCTCCATACCCGTCCTTTTTTGACAGGAGCAATATTTCACAACCTCACTCCATCGTTTTCCCAATGCGACCCTAGCGCCATGTAGGTGAGCAAGTTTGAGCAAGCTGTTGTGTGCTCAACCACTCAGACCCCCCCAAATCAGCCTCATGTCACCCCACCTGTGCATGACAGTGCGGCGAGCGTTATCAGTACCGCATGGTTCTCCGCAATGTCGCGCGTCGCCTCATGCGCCAGCGGATCCAACCCGCCGGAAGCGACAAAAAGAGGTCGTGCCCGGGTTCGAATCGGGGTTATCAGAAGATGAGAAACACAACGCTTGTCAAAATCTGAAGTAATGGCCACTACACTACACAACCTCGGGGGTCGATACCGGCCCACGACTCGAGGGAGCATCATAAATCACAACCTGCGAACAGATGCAACGTCGCTTCTCGTCAACTTTTCTGTCACCCTTGCGGGGAAAGACCAAAACAAGCAAACGTATTCCATGCTTCGTGTATTTGATAAAAGAGGCATCAATGTCATGTATCATTATCTCACACATGCCTTGCCAAGGTTACCACTGGGTATCGGATCCCACTCATGTATTACTTCACCCTCGCTGAAGCCCCATTGCAGTCGTCTGATACACCTCCCTTTGTACCTGCACACCACCACCAGAAAAGCTCCTGACCCTGCTGGAGGCGGCTTTCCCTGGCCTCACAGGGATAATCTCGGTCCTCACGCCGACGCCAGGGCGCCTCGGCGCCAGCGCCAGCTCACTGGCCTCGCTGCCCAGGCTTCGGGCATCATCGTCGCCGCTGCGGAAGGGGGAGAGGTTATCGTTCAGCTCTACATCGTGATCGGCCTCCTTGCCGCGAGGAGATGCAAGCTCGCTGCCGCTGTCGTTGCCGGAGAGAGGGATGCCGCGCTTACTGCCCATCTCGGCCTCGCTGCGAGAGGGGACAGTGCCCTTGCTACCGGTGGCCTTGCCATAGCCGGAGTGGCCGTAGCCTCCAGCTGTGGGACGACTGCCAGCGCCAGTCCCGCCGATGAAGTTGGGAAAGTAGCGGCCCACGAGGGGACGGAGGGTGGGCAGGCAGCAACAGGTGATGGCGGATGTGAGCTCGCCGACGGACCACAAGGAGGAGGTGACGTTTTCCCAGGGGAAGTCCTCGAACAGCTTGAGGTAGCGGATGCGGATGACGGACACGATGACGGTGCTGGTAGGGGTGAGCTTCTGTTCAAGAGAGCGAGGGAAGGGCCCAACGGGGATGAGGAGAGGGGTACGTACAAGAAACCCAAGCCGAAAACGCCGATGAGTATGATCTTTTGCTGCTTAGGGAGCTGCAGCTTCCAAATGGCCGGGAGGGGGAGGCAAAAGACGGCAACGTCGGTGATGATATTGCCGGCGGCGTTGATGTACCACTGCGGGATATTGGGGATGCACTTGGACTCGATGGTCTTGTCCCAGAATCCATTGATGGGCGTGCATGTGAAGATGCCGACAAAGGTTTGGGACAGAGCCCAACCGCCGACCACGATGATGGCGATGATGTAAACGATGCGCATGTGTTGAATTGCCAAGACTCGGTAGTACTGGAAAAGGAAGGCGAGCTTGATGAAGAACAATGCTGCGCAGTAGAAAACGATCGATAGGTAGAAGTCCTGGGTCGTGTCAGTGAATCCGGACACATACATGGTTCCCTGGGAGTGGTGGCGCGTACCTTGAAGTACTTGGGGATGTTGGCGAGCTCCATGACATAAATGTGCTTGCCCAAACCATATTTTGTCATGTCCATGATGGAAATGGCCGAGCCATAAGTGGCAATCTGGAGTCGAGGTCAGAGGGTGATTTCTTGTGGGGCAAGCCCGTTTCGCTTTGCAGGGAAGGGGAAGCGTACCAGGCCGAGGATGATGGTATAGTCGTCCCATCCGAGCTGGTTGATGATGATCTTGCGCGTCCACAGTCGCAGGCCGACCATGAGGGTGGAGATGACAAGGCAGAAGGTAGCAACGCCGATGACTTTACCGGTGGCATCCTCAAAGGCATTAGGCGGCAGCGCCGGAGGGGCACCCGACTCGGGTGACGACATCTCGGCTAATACCGATGGCGGAGCGGAGCTTGGAAACCCAGAGGCGGTTGTGCGTGGTTTGGGGACCGACGCGGGGCGGGCTGGATTTGAGAGAACCACACAGCAGGCAATCTACCTAACAGTAGATATCAGAGAAAGAGGGCCGCATGGGGATCTGTCTCGCCCTGACATGGCCGAGTCGTGATCTTATCTTAAAACTTCTGCAGGTACTGAAAATCACTGCCAAGGGCCGAACGTCCTTGCGGGGACGGGGTGCTCCGATGCTCTGGGTGCCCCAGTCGTGCCAGCCTCCCGAGCCGGAGCTCCATGAGGCCTGGTGGAGAGGATTTCCTACGCTTTGTCCAACGAATTGTGTGATGTGTTTTGCGAAGATGGTGAGATCGTCTTCAAAGCGCGCGTCGTTAGTGTCTGTGTGTCTCGCACCCTACTATCTCTCGCACATGGTGCCAAGTTTTGGCCCGGTACAACTAGTGGCCCTGTGTGGGCTTGACCGTCTCCCGGGCGGGTTGGGAGGTGTCACAATTGCCCCTACCCTACACCCTGTGGAGAACTCGCATCAGATGCACTTGGTGTGAAGTTGTCACGCTGGAAGGATGGAGAAAAGCGGAGAAGATCCTGGCCACCCTCTCCTATTATGGACCGTCCAGGCCTTCCCCACCACCTTGAACATCGCCGTCGAAATGCGGTTGTTGTCGCAGAGTTGATGAAAGCGGCACTACCCCCAATCTGTCAAGCCTTTCGCCGCGCGCTCAGCCGAGAGTTGCGTCTGCCACCTCGACGCAGTCGTTACTAAAGAGTATCGAGATTCGGTAGAGGCTTGTCTGAAGATGCAGATGTTTGCATCTGGAAAGCTGACGCCACAGACGGGATGCGTTGCAGCATTCTCCGTAGCGGGGTTCCAGCGCCCAAGCGTCCGAGTTGTTCGAGCTGGAGCGTGCACAGACATATCCTAGCGACGTCCAAGTCTGACGGTGGAGCGTGCAAAAACAAGGATGCACGGCGTCTGTGCTCGAGTACGAATGTGAAAGAGAGAAAAAAAATTCGGTCAATCGGTCTCGCTACCGACGACTGTCGCTGTGGCGCGACAGACATGGGACGAAGTGTAAAAAGTCAGATGGGAGTTGAATTGTTGCGGTTGGTGGGAATGAGTGGGGCTCAACGGACACCATGCTAGTTCGAGAAGCGTTCCCGTTGCGCTTGGGTGTTCGTGTTGTGGGCGGTCCAATCCGTGCGCAACCTGAGCGTTTTTCGACGAACTCTTTGCCAAATGCAAACGTTGAGCTCCGCCAGCTTGGTTTACCCGCCAGCCGTGGTTGGCAATCGTCCCAGCAGCTCAACACGGTGCGCACCGGCCGAGCCCGTCTCCCTCGGCTTGGAGTGGGAAGGCTTGGTGGAGCACCAGCCGCACGGGACACCAGGCGCCCACAAATGGAGGGGCACCCCCACAGAAGGGGAAGTGCAGTGGTGACTCGTCGGCCGTCAACATACCGGGACCCGGACTCGAGGTGATCTTGACAATCTCCCGCTCCTCGGGTCTCTGACTGCAGACAAAATGTAGGCCAGCCCCAAACCAGTCCAGTCCAACATCAGCGGCCCCCAACTGAACGATTGAACTGCAATCCTGCCACGATATCCCGTTCTCGCTCCTGGCACGGCACGCAGCGATGACGGGGATGCAAATCTCGATCACAGCTCAACGGGCGCTTAACACAGCAGGCGTCGGCAGCGGACAGTGTTCTTGTCGGAGATCTAGTGGGTGCTGCGGACCTTGAACCGACCCAGGTCGCGGACCAGTCGTATCTCAGACATCACAGGCCTTCCCAGCAGATATCACGGCCCGCGTCAATGCGCGGGAAGAGCGAGAATAAAATCATGTGCGACGTTGGGGGCGACAGGGCCACCGCCAAGAGCTATTCGCTTGACCGGCTCCGGGACCATGAGGAACGCAGCGGAGCCGCAGGTGCAAAGGGGCAAAGGGACGCTACTGCAAACACAAGTCGCTACCCTATATATTCCCCTGGGCCATCCATTCAGGCATCTTATGCTAAGCCCTCTCCCCCAATGGCGGCGCGGGCATGGCGAGATTAGGCTACGCATAGTGCTGCAATTAGAAAATTGGAGACGGACGATGGAGACCTGTAATTTGACACGCATTGGCGTTAGCTGACCTCGCTGTAGCCAGGTCGGCCTGTCGAGATTAAAATATAGACCTGGTTCCCGACACAAGTAATGTCACAGGCCAGGTCTCGATCTCTTGTTGGTCGTCGCCACACACACTCGTTTTTTTCTTCGTCCCGTTGTAGGGTTACCGTTGTGGGCAATGGCTGGTTTCAAGTGGATCGCCTCGCGCGTTGCGACAGGCCTTCTCCTGTCGGGTGCTTGCCTTGCAATGCCCACCCCAGGGGTCAGCACCACTGCTGGTGTGCCTGTCGCCCGCTCCGCTTCCATCGAGCAGCCCAACGTCGACTTCCAGCTCCAGTTCGTCCAAGAGCTCATCGCCAACGCTACCGAGGCCGAAGAGAGTCAACTTGGCGCGAAGAAGCGCTCGCTGCTGGGTTCGCTCCTCTGCAACCAAGCCTCTGATTTGGTAGTCAACCTCGGATATGCCAAGTATCAGGGCTACTCCAACTCGGCCACCGGCCTGAACTACTGGAAAGGGTTGGCTTCTTCATAACTTAGGCACTGTCACACACCCTAATCACCATTGTCGCAGCATCCGTTACGCCGCGCCCCCAATAGGAGATCTAAGGTGGAAGGCTCCAAGATTCCCTACCCCCGAGTCTGGTCTCCCTGTCCGTCATGCCGATAGCTTCGGCCCCGCCTGCCCCCAGGCCTATCCTGCCGTCCCGGGTGTGCCCTTCATCCCCGGCAATGAGGACTGCCTCTTCCTGAACGTCTATGCCCCGGCCGGCGCCAGCAACCTCCCCGTCCTCGTGTGGATTCACGGCGGCGGCTACGGTTTCGGCGATGGCACCCTCGACATGACCGACATCATCAACGCCAACAACAAGGGCTTTGTTGTCGTGTCGATCCAGTACCGCCTCGGCGCCTTCGGCTTCTTGGCCTCCAAGGAGCTCCGCGAGAATGGTGTCGTCAATGCCGGCATCCTCGACCAGGCCTTTGCTCTGGCTTGGATCAAGCTCTACGTCTGCCAGTTTGGCGGTGACCCCTTCTCCGTCACCATCTCGGGCGAGTCGGCTGGCGCGAGCTCTGTCATGTACCACGGCTTGGCTGTGGACGGCGGTCTCGGCTCTCTTCTCTTCGACAAGTCCATTGCTGCG